ATGCCGCCCTTCCAGACCAGTATGGGCACTTCTCTATTCCAGACTGGAATGAGTCCAGCTATGGACACCCAGAAAAGTTCAAGCCATTTTGGTGTGGAAAGCAAAACCATCAGTAACACCAGTGGGAGCAGTCCCTTTAAAAGCAGCGATCCATTTTCTTCCGGTGGCATGGGAATCCATTCCATGAATCACTCTGCAGGTATCACACTGGAGCTTGGTTGCATGTAATACTGCATTCTGGGGCTGCAGGGGAGGGGGGAGTGAAGGACCAGGGAATCAAAATGTTAATATTGATTCACTTTAATATCGATAATATATAAAGGACTCATAAACTTTCCCAGACCAAATGGGTTTGGTTGCATTTCTAACACAGCTATAGCAACAAGTGGAGCTGCAGCTCAAACGTAAAAGTCTAAATCCGTGAACATCACATTTAATTTAATAAAAGCTGAGATGTTATGCTATTCTTGCTTTAATACTACTGAAGAGACGCAAAGGCAGAGCAGGAGGGAACAGTGGTGACAGGAGAAGTAACACCCTGATCACACAGGGCATGCTTTCAGCAGCAGAGGGCAGTCTTTTCTAGTTTTCACCGTCACTGGAACACTCCCAGCTCTGCTGTTTTGTTGCTGGTGACCTTATTGCTTTACACTCTGTGCACCCGGCTACTGTCCTCATCATCAATCGACAAACTGGCTCAACAGACAAATGAAACAGTGACCATTTTAAATAATATATCTCCACACAGTGTTCATTAGTTCCTGCAGTGAAGAGAAAATAGTAGCCTAACGTAGATTTAGTACACCACATGACATTTCTAGTTGTCTTTATTAGGAATTTTTAATGTTTATCATAATTAGTAGCAACTGGGTGTCAACTGAATTTGTTGTTGCCAGGTAACAGAAACACAAACCCAGAGCAGTGCATGAGTTTTCCTGCTCATGTAATTGTTAGAAACTAGAATAGAAACATGCATATTCTCCTGCAAATGCTTTTATATGTCTTCATTATGTTGTCATCTACATCTAACTCTAGATTCAGACAGAAATCAAACCCTGCTATCAAGAGTCAAAAGAAAATGGCCTGCAAAGAAAAACAAATAAAGGGCTCTAAAGCCCACACGTAAACTCTTATACCGACTTTCCAAGTTTCCATTTTAGGCAGAACTTATTAAACATTTAGTAATATTTTTATTCATTATCCTTTCTGTATTCTGCTTGTTGGTGTACTAAAGATAGTCCTTCTGGCTTAAAGCCAGCTAACAGTTATGTAACAACTTCTATTGAGTTAAGTCGCTGTCTCTCAGCAGATCTGATGCATCAGGGACACAGATGAATATATACTAGATACTTTCAAAATTGCTCTTCTAAAACCAAAGGTGAGCTCAGCTGTTAGCCATTAAAGGCTACTGTAATGGATGCATTTGTACTAACATATTTTGCAGATAATTACAGTTTGTTGAGCCTTTGACCCTTATCTGTGTTAAATTCTTCTCAAGTAAGGACAACAAACATATGTCCAGAAAGCTAAAGAACATCACAACGTGCATTATGTCAATACCTGATAAAAATCTGAAGTTGTGAGCTAGCTAGCTTTATTTGGCTATTGATGAAGCTTTCTCCTACTGGCTGAAAATTGGTGGTTGGTCCCTCTCCTTTTACATCAGTGTTTCCCAACCACTGTGCCACGAGAAATGATCGGGTGTGCCCCGGAAGATTATTTGGTTCTACCTGATTAGGACTCTTAAGCCACACCACCAAACCAAAAGTGTCACTAAAAGTATTTTGATGATCTTCCCCCGCGCACCAGGTATAGCGGAATGGGCTCAGTTTGTCCCCAGTATACCTTGTATGCTTTCTTCTGACCATTACTCATGCTAGGGCCTTCAGCCGGGTCAGAATTTTCTCCAGGACTCAGGTCAGATTGACTGCTTTATCTTTTCAAATATTTATCTATTGCTATTATAAGCTGCATGGTCTCAGAGCATGACTATTATGTAATTTCTGTTTTACTGGCAGTTGGCAACCCATTTATTTAGAGCAGGTAGTTGCACTGCCCTCTAGTGGAACAGAATGTAATTGTTCTGCCCGTTAGTCACGCTGGTCGTTTAGAGTACTCATCAGGTGGAATCAGATAATCTTCCACGGCACACCTGATCATTTTTCATGGCACACCTATGTGCCGCAGCACAGTGGTTGGGAAGCACTGCTATAAGCGACCCAGATGAAGGCCCTAGCATGAGCAGTGGTCACAAGAAAGCAAAAAAGGTATATTGGGGACAAACTTATTATTATCAAAATGCTTTTTGTGACATTTTTTTTGGTGGTGTGATGTTTCTAAAGTGAAATATGCGCCGTGACTCCAAAAGGCTGGGAAACACGGTTTTACATAAGCAAGGTGAAAAAAGCTGAGAAAAATGTAACCTCCCTGCTTTACAATACAGTCAGTAAAGTAGTGAATAGAAATTATACTTCGTTTAAAGATGCTTCCAGTCAATTAAGCAAATCAGTCAACCAATCAGTTTGAGAAATAAATAAAAGTACACTGAAAACCTGGAATTTTCTCTTATTTAGGATTGTTGTTTTTTATTCTGGCTTGACTGTGCAAAAAAAAAAACCAACCTCTTATTTAAGTTAGAGCATTACAAAATAGTCTGCGCCAATGTGTGCTAATAATGATATTATTTTTATTCATTTTCAAGGTTTGTTTGTTTTTTTCTTGTTGTAAAAGGCAAGAAAACAGGTGGTTGTGTTCTTATCTGGTGTCCCAGCAGTTAATAGTGTAAAAGTGGAACAGCAGATGCCAGCAACACCTAAAACCAAAACTAGGTCTTTGTCCCCTCACTCAGAACTCATCTGCTGTCCCTCAATTTCTCTTAACAGTTGTTAACAGTAAAAGACAAGCAAATGTGATAAAAGTGCAGACTTTCAGGTTTAATTTAAGAGTTTCACAAAATAAATTGCATTAAGTGTTGGGATGAGACTCTATGACAGAGAATATGTGGTACAATGAGATACTGATGCAAGTGAGGAAAGGCCATTGTCAGACTGAAAAATCCAAATAAACCTGTCAGGGAGATAAAAGAAGCTAGCAAACACTTTCAGAGTGGCTAAATCAACAGTCTGCTGCAAAAGAAAAGATTTTCTCAAGGCAAAGAAATAAGATATTCATCTAGACTTTCATCCAGGCGTTAAAAACAGAAAGAAAATGGGGGCCTATGTAGTGTAGAATTCCTAATGTAATTCATCTGTAATTCCTAAACAATTAGTGCAATCCTTTTGTAAAACCCTTGAATAAAAGTCTACACTTTAGTCACATTTTGATTGAATTATTTAAAACCCACTGTGGTGGTGTCCAGAGGCAAAGACGCACTCTAACTAACTGTAAGTACGAAGTGAGAAAGCAGTAATGTCATTCCATTGACGCTGAAATCATAATTTTCTGTCGACACAGTTGCCAGAAACATCTTAAAAGTTTGTTTTTTGATTGTCCCACATTATCTTTAAGCTTCAGTGAGCATGAATAACTCATCCCTGTTGGCAGGCAGAAAACAGAAACCCAGATTTGGGGTGATGGCGAGTCATGCCCCTCCACTTCCTCCTGTCTCACATCACTGGGTATCTAATGAAGCAACAATAAAAGAGCAAAATAACAAAAACATGTTACTTAAAGTTACTTTTTTTCACAGGGGGATTAAATTGGATCTGTCTAGTCATAGGCACGATTTAGGAATTTACATTCATGGAAGTGTCATCGCTGAGGTGCTTTATTTTGAAAAATAGTCATTTATAACACAAATTCTGTGTGTTTTTTAAGTTGTGTCTACAACTCAGTGTGGGTATATTTCTGCAGGATACTGATGACACATTTTCCAAACATGCTTCTGTTCTTCTGCGTTTACTATCCTGTGTTTAAGGCTTGCAGTCCACTGTGCTCCTGCTCTGTCTGCGGTAAACCTTAAATAGAATTTGGCAAATTACAGCTCATACTGTGTTTTTGCACGAGTCATGTGTTCAAAGCAGCCCATGCTCCAACCTTAATGTATTTCATGGCGGTTTGCCAGAGTCCAGATTAAGAAGTACTCCCATTAAATATGTTATCCTATTAAATATAGATGATAATATCCCTGGTCTTGTCTTCCCTTAGTGTTGTTTATAGCAGGGCAAGCATCAGGTCGTTGGGAGAAAATAGCCAAGTCAATCAATTAAACCATGCTGGGAAAGGTGCCAGATTTAGAGAGGATTGCACCTTTTTCTGGATTTCCATTAATAAGCAGTGATGTAAGACTGCAGTTAGGATGATGAAAAGTAGAAAAAAATATAATATTTTAGATTGGAAGAAGAGCCGATGAGCAGTCATAGACTATTTTACAGTTTGCCTGTTTCTGTCTGTTCATCTTTCTGTTTCTGTTCTCTCTGAGCTGATGACGTGCTTGTCAGTAATAATTGAGAAATATGGATTTAGAGGAAAAAGTCAGAGCCAACTGCGATGCCTTCATTCCTCAAATAAGAGAAGATAGTGGGAACAGACAAATAAGAAGATCATTTCAGTGCAGGCTGAACATTTTTTGCTTTGTCTGCCATTTGATCGTTTTGTGATTCCGCAGTGCGTTCCTAACGCTTAATGTGATTTGAGTGCGTTTGAATGTGCACTTAGTAGACACGCATGTTTTTAATTTTCTTGCATGCTCGCTCCTGTGTTAACTGTGCTTGGTATATTTGTCTGTTTAAGTTGCTTCAAGGTTGCATTGCTCTCACAGTGTGCTTATTTTTCTGTGGCGTGTGTGCGTCCTCCCTCTAAGAGCTACTTTGTATCCTGGATGGTGGTGATGATGTTTAAATATTGAGAATTATGCATATTTGTGCAAAAGGACACACATTTACTGGTTGACTGGCACTTCCTTTCAGACTTCACTGGCAATTTGGAAAACAGAAATCTACACCAAACTATATGACCAACTTTCAGTTTTGACTTCCTCTCATTTTACATTATAGTTATTATCATAAAAGAGTAACGACTAAAAACAACATTACCCTACATGCACACAAATGTGCATGTCAATCACAGTCTAACTTGGTCCTAAAAGGTTCCCTCAAACGTTGTTGTCAGTGAAATTTTAGTTAACAGTATATCCAGTCAAATCCAGGCAGCTGGGACACCAAGCAAATATATCTAATGCCTGGTGTAAAACAGCATCTATAAAACGTTTTATGCACGTATGATCTATTATAGTCTTTACAGAACCATAGACAAAACAACAGGTGAGTAAAGCAAATACAGGTTGAATGTATTTATAAAAGCAGGCACCATCACATACAACTTACTGCAATAAATTGTTGAAAATGTTGTGCCTAAAAAGAGCCTAAGAGCAGTCAGACTATGGTTACTATCACTGGAAACCAACCCAGCAAAACAAACTTCACTTCATGATTTTAAGTGCATTTCCTGGTTGGCATGTGGCATACCACTAGTACGCAAGGCGGGAATTTATTGCGTATTATAGCATGTAGCCACGTGTGCTTTCCAAATGCATTGCTAATACATCTTCTATAGTACCAGCTTAGGTGTTTCTCCTGTCCAACCATATCATGTGATGTCACTAAAAATTATCTGTCTTCATCTGGTTGTTATTTTACATGTATATGTACACCACACCGAAATATTTCAGCAGGTAATCAATTTAAACGAGTAAAATTTTAAATAAGTTATGTTCCACAAAAATGTCTGTTCTTTGTTTTTTGGGGGATGAGTCAAGGCTCCAGGTGACAGTAATAACAGACGTTTATTATTTACAGTATTTGTTAAGCAATGAGAATAAGTACAGTTCAGTAAGATAAACTCATAGAAGCCACTTATCTCTGCAAATAAACAAAGTTAACATTAGTAGGAAATTAGTCCAGCTTTGCTCAATTAATGTGCATAATTAAAATTATTAACAGGATGCCAAGAACTAAAAGCTATCACTGAATGTCAGAGATGCCTCTAACTTGCATTGCAGAGATATCTACTGAAGTTAACTCTCATCAGGTAGTCCTCATCCAGGGACTCATGTGATACCTTTTTGGTATCCAAAGATGGCCTAAAGAGTAGGCTGCCCTCAGTGCAACTTGAAAGGACCAAGAAGTAGCGCTGCCTAAATGTGGTATTTTCCTTTTGTAGAGTCTGTAGCTATTATCAAACCTGAACTTCGAACAATGTTTAGCTAGCTATGTTGGCGTAGTTTTCACACACGTCCTTTCTCACATGTAGCACACATCAGGGAGGCGACATTTGTTGTGATTTGGCGCTATATAAATAAAATTGAATTGAATTGAATTGAATACTCTGGATGCAAACTACTCTAATTACTTTGGTTTAGACAAAAAAAACTACCTGAATCATGTTGAAGGATAGGGAGTCAGTGCAACAGTAAGGACAGTGAGGGCGTAACCTCTTGTAATGCACCCACTAAAGAGCACTATTAACAAGACAGCTTGCTGGTTAGAGTTTGTTTTTAGCCTAAAATTGTGTAGCTTCTTTAACGTATCGTCAACCACAATGGTCGTTAAATCATTTTGATTGTATAGCAGCGTCTGGCAATGGTAGACATAACAGACTGGGGGCTTTGATGAAGTTAAGAAATGTCAGCCTGGAAAGCACAACTTAGGATATCAAGCACCACTGAGTGCTCTTGTGAAACCACAGAAACCCTTTCTAAGGTAAGATACATATCTTGCATAAGTTAACCCAACTGCGTAAGAGGGGGAAAAAATGTCTGCTTTAGCTTATTTCATAAAAACTCATATTTCAACATGAATTTAGAGTAATCCTATAATCTTCACTACATCAAATTACTTTCACTGTCATAGATGCAAGAGTTATTTACCAAAATAGCTGGTACACCCAGTTAAATCAGATTTAAACCTGAAATAACAAGTACAGCTATAGTAACCATAATCTGATGGCTTTTTATCAGGTGTTTCTCTGACACAGTATGTGATTGGTTCCTCCTCTTATAAAACCCTCCCCCTCGGCAGCTCCCATCCTCTCTCCCAGCGGCTCAGTGGATGACAGCAGTGCTACATCCTCCAACTCTGAACCCCTCAGCCCTGACAGAGCAGGGCCGGGGAACGAAGCCGGCAAGCAGCAGCAGCGGCGACGGAAGAAGAAGAGGAAGGGCCGTGATGAGGTCTACGACTTCTTGGATAGCCAGGAGAATAACATCAGCGGGATGCAGGATAAAGGCAGAGGGGAGGTGGAGGAGGACGAAGATGAGGAGGAGAACTGGGAGTGGGAGATCAGAGAGAGTGGAGGAGGGGGTAGGGTAAAAGGCAGAAAGACTAAGAGTCGGGCAAGACTTCCAGAGGAGTGGGGAGCTCCACAGCAGCCTGTCTCTCCCACACCAGCTACAGTTGCCCCTAAGTGGGCTGCAGGTGCTGACATTGGCTCTAGTGACCCCAAAGCTCCGAACTCCATCCCCAGCCCCACTCTACCCTCTGCCCCTGAACAGATACCCACAAGTTTTACCAACTGTTCCCATGTTGGCCAAGTATCAGATTTGTCTTCGCGCTCCTACGAGCCTATGTGTTTAGATGACTTTTCTGTGTCTGTTAAAAATGGGCAAAAGCCCATTGAAGAGAGAATGTCAGCCAAACCTGAAAACCATATTAGCACAGCTGCTAGTACAGTCACCAAGAATAGTTTAGCTGGGGATGTCAGCGGTAGCCTAGCACTAATGACAGGGGACAACCTAAGCCCTGTCTCCCAGACCTTCTCTTTCCTTGATTCAGTTCTCCAGACCCCACCGGGTTCCACTCCCGACTCCCAGACAACCACCCCCATCACCAACACAGCCTCCCTTGCTCCTGCTTCCCTCACAAAGTCAACCCCAGTAGAAACCACTGTCCCTGCTTCACAAGCCGCTTCTGATTTCAACCCTTTCAAGAGCACTTCAGACCTCCCCCCCACTGTGTCCACCAGTCCATCACCTTTAACTTCAGCAGAAACATACCCTTCAGCAGCCATAGCTGGATCGGCCCTCAACGTCGATGCCAAGCCTTTCATCCCCTCAGCCACACTAATGTCCTGCACAGCTACCCCCAGTAATTCGGAGGCCACTCCTGTTGTTAGAACAGCAGCAGTGGCCTCCACGGGAACCGCCGGTCCTGCATCCTCTACCACTTCAGCCACACCTCTTAATTCCTCAGCTGCTTCCTGTAAGAAAGAAGCCACCCCTGCATCGTCATCACCAGACACTCCCCCCAAATGCGTACCAGTGTCCCTTAGCTCAGCCACACCCCCTCCTCCCATCACCCAAGCAGCCCCTCCCTCTCTCCCTGCACACTCAGACCACCAGGAGTCCTCGTCGCCACAGCTCCCCCCATTGGAAGGTTGGTGAACTACAGGGAAGATTATGAATAACATGGAGCTTATTTAAAGAAAAGTGATTGTAGGCTAGGATAGCAAGAAGTAGTGATGTTTGTCTTCCTGTATGCATGGCTCTTTGCCTGCTTGGTGCTCGATCCTGTCGCCTGCGAATCCGAAATAACCGGGGCCCGACAGATATATCCAGAACAGCTTCTGTTTTAATCAGCTTTTAAGATATTTACCTTTACGACAGATAAACATCTGCTCTTTGTTACTACTGCAAATATAATCTGGAAAATATCGCAGACAGAAATTCATTTGTGTCCAAATATATTATTATATCCTATGCTGCCAGCATGACTATGGGACACAAATGTACTGTGCTAGTCGGGCCCTACAAACCTGCCAGGGTAAACTGTCTGATTGGATTTTCCTCTGCCTGCCTCTGTGTATCTGTTACTGTGATCATAACAATTTGATAATACTTGACCTGCTGCTGATAGCTGCTGCCGTCTATGCTTGCTCCACTGTCTACTGTTTCGTGTGATTGTCAGCTGCTATGTAACCTCCCACTATCTCCTTTTTGTCTGTAAAAACACACATAACCTGGGTCGCTGCATGGAAAAGCCAGTTTGTCAATGCCTTTCAGATTCAGTCAGCAACTTTGTAGACTTTAATCATCTGCATAGAGGCAAGTTAGTGTATCTGGAAGAGGCAAGGTGTGGCCGTGACCATAGACGTCACATAAAAGATGGACAGGATGTAGCCACTGTGATGCCATTCGTTCATTTGCAAACTTTAGAGGAGTGTTTCTGCTGTAGCCATCTTGTCTTTTTGATGCCAAACTGTGAAATTAAGGACTGCACAGTCATAGGATTGCAATGTGTCAGTCAAAATCAGCCTTGAACTAACTAACGCATAACCTTGTTATCTGAACTAATAGCGACTCATCAGAAAAATGGCAGCTGAGGTCACAGAGCGAGGGAGCCCTTAGACGTCTGTACTTCCTTTAGACACCAGGAGTTACCACTTCCTGAGTATCAGAAAGCACTTGATTTTTCAGATGCAAAGGCTATGCCCGTCTTTTATACACAGTCTATGATTGCGAACAAGAAAACTGGAAAATGTGTTACAAATTCATCTTTCATTTATTTATTAGGTCGATAAGGCACAAAACCCAGTTTTTTATTTTTTCACCTCTAAAGTTTTCTTTTCGCAGTGATTTTAAAATGCTATAATTCTATTGTAGGTGTTTATTATAAACTATATATGACGTGTTATATGTTAAAGATGCATTACTCCATTCAGCTATTTTCTAAATTCTCTACAATGTAGTATTTGACCCAAAATGAACCAAAAAA